TATTCTATTTTCAATTAAACAAAATTTCTGATGTTTTTGTCATCATCAAAAAGGGGGAGATTGTTAGAACACAGATTGGTTCTTAATAATATCTCTATGTTTTGATGATAAATATTATGAAATTTTGTAATCAAGAATTATATACTCTAAAATTTGCTTAAGAGTTTTTACTGCAGATATTAAAGTAATTATCACTCCAGAAGCAAATCAGAACTGAACATAAGAAATATGCTAAACTCTGAAGCGCCAGATGCATCCATTAGAAGATTCTGAATGCTGCCAACAGAAGATCCTGAGCGTAGCCTCCAGAAGGATCTGAAGCAGAAGCTCCAGAAGAATCTGAAGCAAGTCAGAAGCATCTGAACCAAAGAAGAATTCTGTATGAAGAGTTTTCAAAGCATAGTTACTACAGAAGATTCTGAAAGTACTAAAGCTGCCAGTACTGAGGATCTGACTCAAATATGCTCTGAACTTATACACGCTAAAAGCACACCTGCTGCAAAGACTCTGATTCAGCAAAGCTCTGATCAACATCAGAAGGCTCTGATCAAATTAGACTCTAATGAATCTTGCTGAAAATTGATGAAGAAGAATTCAAAGATTATGTCCGTTGGAATAATCCAAACGACTCTTTCCTTATTTATGCTAGACACAAGAACACAGACAAAAAGGATTTTTTTGTGCTTTCTTCTTCTAGGAAAGGTCACTTGATGTAAAGACAAAAAGGCTCAGACCTTTTGGGACACTCTTCTCAACGTGAAGTTCTCTTGGATCAAGCTGCCTATAAAAGCAAGTCTTCACCCATCTTCTTCAGTTGACGTTTTATCTGAAAAGAAATCAATATTCAAAGCTCTCATACTATTCACATTCTTTCTAGAATTAATTTCTTTGTTCTTAATATTAAGTGAAAAATCACAGTTGTGATAAAGCTTTATTAGAAGCAATTTAAACACTTGTATTTGTTATTACATTTGATTGTAAGAAAACCTTAAGAAGATCCAGTTAGGATCAGTAGTTCTTGAGAATACTTTGAACAGTTGTTCTTAGTGCTTACTATTGTATAAGAAAGGCAAATCACTCTAGGAAGGGTGGACTGGAGTAGTTGAGTTTAACGAACCAGGATAAAAATACTTGAGTTTTTATTTATAAGTTTTTATCTTCATACTTATTCAACCCCCCTTCTAAGTATTTTTTTCACCTTCAGACCTCTTCAGTTTTCTTATTATGGCGGTCGATGATGTAGTTTTTGAAGGTAAAGCGCTTGAAAACGAATTCGTTCGTAGTTTCTATTGTTGGATGAAGTTCTCACCAATAAGGTTTAGTCCCGTGATGGTTGCCACGTCGAACAAGGTCGGGGTAAGAATTCCACAGGGGAATTGAAAAATGTTGGTCGAACTTTCCCAAAAGAAGATTGGCGCGGGCAACATGGATGGGTTATACCTAGGGACAGCTCTAGAAATTTGAATAACTTCCAAGATGCCTAGTCTTTTGCATTGTTCCTTTCTCTTGTGTTGGACTTTGTCGAGCTAGGCAAGGTACTCTTTGTTTTTAACGCGGGGGGGAGGGGGGACAGATCGAACGACACGCACGAGTGTTTCCATAAAAGCTAAATCAAGAGAGAATTCTTCAAATGCTGAGGGCATGGTACGGGATATCATGGGAAAAAGTTATTTACTTTCTTAGGTTGTGACTTAGCAGTCGGGTATGGTCCTAAGAATGCGAACAATTTATCAGATAAGGAAAAAGGGACAGGTATTTGATTAGCCCAAATGATGATTTTCATTTTGGTCATTGGTGGTTCAGGTATGAAATATCTTTCTTGTTTATCTTATTCTGGTGGAATCTTGAATACCAAAGGATTCTTCCCAGTATAAAATTTGGAGGATGAAGAGTTTGCTACCATTTTTAAAGTTTGAAAGCTTGCTGCGAAAAATAGTTTTTCTGTCTGAAATGTTAAAAGTGAAATTGAAGAAGATGATAATAGAGTATGATGCAATTATTTATATAGTTATTTTCCTTGTCAATCATGGACTTTAGGCATACACGTGTTGACACAAAATGATTCGTGTTTCAAGAAATGGGAAAGCTGATGGAAGTAGAGCAGTTAATGAAACGTGCAAATGCATAATCCCCTAGAAAATATGAGTAATGATGAAATTCTGAGAAGATATTTTAAAAAATGACAATGTGCATTAAAGTGGTAATGGTGACGATGACGTCAGCGAAAGAGTTTGAACAGTGACAAAAATACATTCAAAAATGCCACCTTTCTCCTTTTGATTTAAAATCGAAACATGTTATTTTGGGGGACATTTGTTATCCTATATTTTTTATACAAACATTAATTACAAAAATGTGATGAGGATCATGTAATAATGGTTTTTGTTGAAAAGTATAAATGGTCAGTTATGACCATGATATCTCAACGAATTTGATTCGTTGAAAAGTAGTACTAACTTTGGTTGAAATTGCAATTAGACGGAGACTAGGAAGTGTTGGTTTTTGGGACTTAGTGAAATTCAGAGTTCCCAAGATGTTTACTATACACAGTCGAATGAGGTATAATTGGATAAGATCAGACAATTATTCGAGGATACGTGGGAGTCTATTGAAGGCGAAGGTTGAATGAAGAAAGACGTGGTGTATTTTGCTTAGTTGAGCGTTGCAAACGGTTAATATTTAGGATTAGTATATAATTTGCATTCACTTTGAGTTTTAGAGGTCTTCAATTGTACACAAAATTCTGTAAAACTCAAAGTATTTGTGTGTTTGTGATAAAAGAGTCAAGAATGTACGTATATGCATTCCACTTTTACAAATTGAAGTCTTTATTTTAGCCATTTACTGCATTGAATTAGTTCCATTCATTCTTCTTTAAGTTTTTTCCTTCCGTTTCGATTTCACAGTTAATTTCAGTCATTATTCCTAATTTCTCTTACATTTTGACTTTGATGTCAAACTTGTTTAAAATTTATGACTCAGACAAATATGTCCTAAGATTTTTTCGAGTTTAATCCCTTAAGTGAAATGAAACTTATTTTGTTTACTAAATTTAAAAGTAAACAATATGTAGCCGCTCCAAACTTTTACGCATCATACTTTAGGATGGATTGCAAAACAGAAGAAAAAAATCTCCAATGTTGTTCTATCTTAAACAAAACATTTTTTCTGCTCTTGGAATCAATCCCAACAAAATGGTGTTGATGTTGTTGTTCTATTTTTGGAATAACCTTCATATGTTATCAATCAAAGAAAACACTCCATAATTTATTACTTTCTTTGGTTGACAATATTGAGAAATTTATTTATAAACATGTTGTAAATTGCAAGCACATATATCATGTTCTGTTTCTTGTGAAAGCATTTTCCATGAAAATATTTGCTCAAGATAATGAAAGAGTTGTGCAAAGATTTGTTGTTTAATAAGAATCTATTGTCAAAATTTGAATTTGTTTAAACAATTCATTTTAATATTCTCTGTAAACAATGTAATTTAAATTTTAAAAAAAAACTTACTCCCCTCAGTTTTTTAGAGAAACCGAAAGATATTTGGCACTTGGGATGAAACATATTTTATTATATTTTTATTTTTAAAAAAAATACATTTTACATTGGTTTTAAGTAATAACCGAGGAGAAATATAAGCGTGTTTATTGAATTTTTTCACCGTCCTTAAGCAAATCTTTATCGTCCATTTAATGAGTATCAACGCACAAGACACTGCAATTAGTGATTTGTCTAAACCTAAAAGATATTATAAAAGTATTCTGAATATTAAAAATTGATAATGAAACATTTAACATGAAAATTTTGAAACTTAAAGAAGTGTTTATCTAATATCTTTTTCATATAAGAAACAAATGAATGTAAAACTCATAGAGAATATATTGCGTCCAACATTTGTTCTTCTCCAATATATCCAACATTTGTTCTTCACCGACAGCGATGACGATTAATCAAATTCAAAATTTGTTATATATTTTTACTTTAATATTATGTGTAGACAATGTAATTTTCTGTGTCAATAATGTAGCTTGTAAATAAATTAATTTATTAATATTCTATATAAATATAATATAATGAGTATTTAAAAAAATAATTTATCTTTCTCCTCGGTTTTGGCATAAACTGAATGGTATGTGGTGCTAGTTTTGAAAATATAAAAAAAAAAAAAAAAAAAAAAAAAAAAAAAAAACTATGATTAGAGATCAAACCAATGACCATTGTCACTTCGATTATAAGAAATCGAATAAGTGTCAAATTTTCATGTTGTTCTTCGTTACCTCGTATCTATAACTGAAGTAATATCTACTTCGCATCCTAGATAAAATATATTTTTTTATAATATGATGGAATTAGTATTTCCCTATCTTAATCTTCAAAAGCCATTTATTGGATAGAGGCCAAAAAAATGTGCTAGGCCTTAAGCTTGGTCCATTACCAAGTCGGGTTTTAAATTTTAAAGTGGCCTAAGATTTGAAGAAAGGTCAAAACCGAAAATTCTCTAAATTATACCTCAAAAAACCAAATCATATGCAATACCTAAGTTACCCTCATCTTAATATATAAATTAACAATAAACTTGAGTATACCAACAGTTTCAAAATTTGAATTTACCGATACATATTTGTGTGTTCAGACAAAGTTGTGATATTTAAAATTTATATACTATAATATAAGTATCTTAATAATTATAGAAATTTCTAAAAATACACCACCACCATTGTTGGTACAAGATGATGACAATTAGGAACAAGAGTGCTAGTGTCATTACTACGGCCCAAAGTTATAGGTCACGCTGACTCACCCATGGTCCTTACCATGTCTATTCTGCATAAATGGTCCACCTCAGATTTTCAAAATCTCTATCTTAATTTAATGTTTTTCTCCCTCACTCTCTCATCTAAGGTTTCTCTATAACTACTCAAAGAGAGAAAAAAATTCATATCAATTAGTATTATATATATTACGCTCTTCTTTTGCCAGCAAAATTTCTAGAAATGGGTGAAGTAAGTGTTAGTTTACAGTACTTAATGTTTATGCTAGTTCATTAATGAAGGTTTTAGAGTTGATATTAAAATGTTTTTGTTTGGTGTTGATAGGAGAAGAAGGAAGAAGAAAAGAAAGAAGAAACTAAGGAGGAAAAGAAGGAAGAAGAGAAAAAGGAAGAAGAAAAGAAAGATGAAGAACAACTTCCTCAAGAGATTGTACTCAAAGTTGATATGCATTGTGAAGCTTGTGCAAGGAAAGTTGCAAAAGCATTGAAAGGATTTGAAGGTAATAATTAATTAATTAATTAATTTCTTATTCAACTTCTTGCTCTAAGCTCTAAGACATTTTTCTGACATGAATTTAATCTTGTCATTAAATTTAATTAATCAAACATGTTTTCTGCTGCAAATGTTTTGAATAGAGTATCTTTTGTTTCATGGCTTATTCGACAAATTGTAATTTCATTAAGAAATAATTGATAATATATCAAATTATTTATATATAGGATACATTAAATATTTAATTAAAAAATAATTAAATTTATATATTATATTGTGATTATGTGAAATTTGCCATTAATCCAAACATGCAGAGAAATATTTTGTTTAATTAGAGAATAATAATGTTACAGATAACTACTGCTAGATTTTAGGATCTACCAGTGTCAGCTTGGTACTTTGTTCTCTTTTTTTCTCTCCTTTTCCCTTGTTAGATGGATCTACAATTCATGATTGATTTTGAATTTCACATCATATGCATGATGAAATAATAATTTGTCAATATGTAAAATTCTCAACTTTTACACATGTCTATTAAATAGAACAAAAGTGCATTATTGCATTAAAGGTGTAGGTATGAGGTAGAGAAAAATTGTGGTAAATTGAGGATTATATTATATATATTAAATAATTAATTATTAATAAATTTGAATTTATAATTTAAAAAAAATAATGTTTGTGTTTGAAAGGAGTGGAGGAGGTGAGTGCAGATAGTAAGAGCAGCAAAGTGGTAGTGAAAGGAAAGGCAGCAGACCCCATAAAAGTACTCAAAAGACTACAAAAGAAAAGTGGTAAGAAAGTGGAACTTATTTCACCTTTACCTAAACCTCCACAAGACAAAAAAGAAGAAGAAATCAAAGAACCACCAAAGGTAGAAGAGAAAAAAGATGAGGTAACAATTAACCTATTATTTCATTTCTTTTTTGAATTATATATAACATTCAAGTTTAGGGTTTAAAGTTTAGTTTTTTATTAATATTAGACAGTTACAATCTAGGGTTTAGTTATCGGTTACCATTTAGGGTTTAGAGTTTAGAAATCTAGAGTTAATATGACATGACATAAAGGAATCAAGTTCCAATGAAAGGGGGATTGTAGATGAGGAAGTAACATGTATGAATACTTGTTTAGTGAAATATTTTGAATGGATAGAATTTCCAAGTTGCATTATTTTTACCCTTTTGGTTTATTGTTGTTGTTTTTACAAGACAAGTGCAAGTAGAAACACTAGATAGCATGAAAGTAACGAAACAAAAATACGAAAATGATGCCCCTACTATAAAGGCACATTAAACGAGGGCAAAGACTGTGACAATTAAGAGATGAGTTTGACCCCACTTTTCTTTTTTCATCTTGACATGCAGCATAATGGGGTCACAGTCACGGACTCACTCTCTGTATTATTATGCATGCATCCAACTTCATATATATTTATATATATAAATATATAAATATATGTTTTTTTGTGTGTGACATTGTGTCAACATATATGTATGATAAGAATTTTTTTGAAAAGAAAAACATTATGTGACGTGGGATAAGAGTTAAGATAAGAGGTGTTGTGTTGTCGATTATGGATTTGATGAGGATGAGATGAGTAGGGTATGGTAGCTCTATATCCTATGGTGATAACTGATTTTTAGGGTACGTTTTGGCCTTTAAGGAACCCTACATCCACATGCATGGCCCATTGAAACTAGTAGGACATTCTAGAGGCTTTTATTATGGGGCAAATTAAATGATTTGTCACACAATAATTTCGACATTAATGATGAACCAATCAACATTAAATATCTATGAAACACAATCCCACAAAGATACATAGATACCAGAGACAATACTGATATATTAGATAATATTCAAATAGTTGAATTTGTTAGTTAGGGTAAACAAATATTGATATTTTGTGGTATGGTTTGTTTGTGAGCAGGGTCCTACTGTGGTAACAATAGTTCTTAAAATAAGAATGCATTGTGATGCATGTGCTCAAGTTATACAGAAGAGAATCCGGAAGATAAAAGGTACATAGATTCATTCTTCTCTCACTTTGGTGTATACAAAGGTTGATTTAATGGTATATTCTAATGATGGATTAAATTCATGATATGTGGCGTTAATCACGCTCTAGGAGCTTTTTTTAATGTTTTTCATGAACCTTTTGACTAAAAGTGTTTTGATTTTAACGTTAATCTATGTATACTACTAATAAATCTCCCTTCCACAACTATGAGAGTTCAACTAGACTCCTACGACCTAGTAAATTAATGATTAGGGCTGTCCCACCAAAGTCTACCAAAAAGTAAGGTGGGCGGATAGAGAGGACAGTCGGAAAATTTGATTCGATAATGGGTTAAATGGACAGGTCCGACCACTTTTAAAGATTAAAAGTGACATACGATCATGTTTGTCGATTTTAAATCCGCATTCGTTAAAAATTGAACTTGTCAAAGTAAACGAGGTGAGTCTGAAACTTTGGAACGACCTGTAAAAAATGACGGGTTATAGTAAAAGATATATAAAAAAAAGTTTTATCTTCCCTAAACTTTATTTTCATGTAAAAATGATAACATGTGCAGGAGTAGAATCAGTGGAAACAGATTTAGGAAACGACCAAGCCATAGTAAAAGGTGCAATTGATGCAGCAAAGCTTGTTGAAGAAGTATACAAGAGAACCAAAAAGCAAGCATCAATAGTGAAAGAGGAGGAAGAAAAGAAGGAAGAAGAGAAGAAAGAAGAAGAGAAAAAGGAAGAGAAAAAAGAAGGAGAAGAGGAAGAGAAAAAAGAGAGTGAAGAAGAAAACAAGGAAGAAGATGATAATAAAACTGAAATCAAGCGCAGTGAATATTGGCCATCAAAAGATTATATTGATTATGCTTATGCACCTGAGATTTTCAGTGATGAAAATCCAAATGCTTGTTCTATTATGTAGACTTGTTGTTATTTGTGATGTTTCTGTATTTTAATAGCTTATTAGATTAAGCTAGTTTTCTATTTCTATGTAACATAGTATAGTAGTGAATATTTTAAGGTTTTAGGTTTCTGCTGTGTTTATTTATGAGCTTTCAATGAATTTCGCTGTCAAAAGATGGCTGAATCACTTATGTTGGTGTGTATGTGCTAAAGTGTACTAGTATATCTATAATGTTGACACAAATAATATCAAGTCTTTAATTATGACATTAAAACTTATGGTGAACTTCAACCTAAACTTTAAGTCTTCAAATCAATGTAAAATAATTAAGTTGAGTGAATGCTACTTTTTTTTTTTCATTTAATTTATGAAGGGGTTTTAAAGCAAAGTCCTTTTTAATGTTTTAAAGATGACAAATTTTTAAGTCAAACAAATAAGATAATGACCATAAGTATAATTTAAAGTTGTGCTTTTAAGTGAAAATTGTTAATATAAATAGTTATAAGGTTAATACCCAATTTACATTTGGGGCAAATTGGAAAAAAAGATTCCTTGTAAAAAAAATAAAATTTTCTACAATTTTAAAATTCTTCTATTTTCATTAAATTCCTCTTATTGAAGTAACTCTAAGATAACTTCTCTATCACATAATCAATTATTTATATTTAATGCTAGACTAAAGAAGAAGGTTGTGAAAACATGATGTAGTCATTTATCTTCTTGTTACTTTTTGTTTTGCATTAGATAAATGCAGGTAATATGTTATGCTTATACTAATGTGGCCCAAAAATGACTTGTAATATGATTTTATTATTCATTGTGCATTACAACAAGTTCCGAAGTAAGCTCACATTATGCACACATTGCATTACAATTAGTTCCAAAATAAACACACTTTATGCGTTACACTAAAAACGTTGTGCATTGCAGTCTTAAACCTAAATAAGCATGCATTGTGCATTACATTATAGACGTTACAAATATTACAAGAGTTCCAAAAGTGAGTTGTGCATTACAGTCTTAAACTTAAATAAGCATGCATTGTGCATTACATTACAGACGTTACAAATATTACAAGAGTTCCAAAAGTGAATTACAAAAGTCCATGACAAATCATTGTGACAATTACCTTGATATCTCATCTCATGACTTCATTTTGCAAAAACAAGCCCATAACTTAGGGTCTTTTGGTGTAGGAGTGTCATCTACATTCTTCACTTTCTCAACATCATATTTTGCACCGTTTCCATATTTAGCTCTTGATGTGTTCCTCTAAGACACAAGATAGAAAAAAAATAAAGGTTTTATTAAAGATAAGAATATTTTCTTGAGTTATGCACATAGATTTCACATTTGGTGACTTGTAACAAATATCATGCCTCCTCATTCTAGAAGAGGTCTCATCATGTTCTCTAAATCTAAGCTTTATAGGTCTTCTTAGACCCTTCTTAAAAGATGGTGGGAGCATATCCTCAAATTCAGCTTTATGTTAGATATTCATTCCATTAGTAACACTTACATTAGAACTGTAACATAGATTATGTGCATTCCTAGTGTAACACTTATCACCAAAAAATGTTGATCTAATTTATCATAACTCATGGTAGATATGGCATGTCTACGTGGAATTTCTACAAGTTCCCAAAAATAGCAAGTACATGTTGCAGTGAGAATCAGATATCAAGCTATTGTCTTAACTTGAATCGCAAATCTTTAAATATTCACCACCAAACTTTAATTTATCCAAAGGAAAGGGAAAAGATCGAATAAACCATAATTATGCAATGTAATAACAATGCAAAGAGGCCTAAAGGTTCGGGGGTTGGTTATACTAAGGGAAGGTATTAGCATCCTAAGTATCTATAGTATTCTATAGGAATCTCTTGTTGTATTTATGTTATGTTATTGTTTGTTTACTAATGATTATGATTATTCTAAGGGAAAGACCTAAGGTTTGTACTATGTATGCTCGCCAAGACTTCGCAGTCTTGTGCCTACGTATCCTAACAAGGATGAAATCAAACCATTTGTATTTCACCTAAACAAGGTAAAGAACAGTTGATAATGATCAAGGTTCAAAGGGGAAGGTAAGTGTTCATAACAATAACACTTACATAGGGCTTACAAACTCTAACATAAGTCTAAGTTAAAAGGCTAATGACTCTAACAAGGTTAAACGGGAAAGTAAGTGTTCATAGCAATAACACTTGCATAAAGTTTACAAACTCTATCTTAAGTCTAAGTTGTAAGGTTAATGACTTAACAAAGTCAAGCGGGAAAGTAAGTGTTCATAGCAATAACACTTACATAGAGTTTACAAACTCTAGCCTAAGTCTAAGTTGTAAGGTTAATGACTTAACAAAGCAAAGGAGGAATTTAGGAGGGTTTACAAACTCTAACCTAAAGGTGAGGTTGAAAGGGTTAAGGATGAGGGCTATACTAACTTATGACATAAAGTCAACAAGAACAAACTTTCCTTTGGATTTAGGCACAAACAATCATAATATCAAAGGAGTACAGGGAAAAGCCTCAAGTATCAAAGCTAAGATCATGAGTGAATGGAAAAATATGTAAATCAAGTACTAAAGTAGCTAATCAACTCATGAGGCAAAACATTATGTCACCAATTAGGCATATAACATGTCAAGGATAATGTCAGACAAAGAGTGCACAAGCATTCATATCTTTAAGTGAACCAAACATCATTATTTAGAACACAAAGGAAAAATGAACCAAATAAGATGAGAATCCATACAACTCAGTACCCACACCATAATATGTTCATCATATCTCAAAGATTAAAAAAGGAGCACAGATGGATCAAACATGAGTCATATATATGGCCAAACAATTTGATAACAATTATATCATGAAAACAAATCATAAAGGGTCAAGCATATGAAATTAAGGTATGAAACCAAGAAGAGGCAATAGCATATACATGACCGTTTTGCCTCCCAACCATGGACTTGAACTTCTTAAGCACTTCAAATACCTCATCCTTTCTCTTGATTAGGTATGTCAATAGCTTTCTACTATGACCATCGATGAATGTGACAAAATATATATTTCTACCAATGAAATCTACTTGCATCGGTCCACACATATCAGAATACACCACCTCAAGACGATTCTTGGTTTTATAACCTGCATTCGTGCTGAATTTACCCTTATGTTGCTTCACTTGCACATATTATTCACAAATTTTATCTGATATGTTGATCAATGGTAACCCAGTTACCATTCCATTCTTTTGCAAGTCTTTGAAATCTCGGATATTGATATGCCCAAGACGATAATTCCATATCCATTCTTCTTGAGTTGCCTCTGTAGCAAGACATCTATGTTCATAACCTTCATCTCAACCTTGAAGGTTCTATTGGCATCCATAGGAGCTTTAAGGACCAAGACTTTGTTTTCATCCATAACGTGCAACCCATTGTTTTCCATGTGAATCTTGTAACCCTTCTCAAGGAATTGGCCAATACTTAGAAGGATACATTTGATTCCTGGAATGTACATTATATCTTTGATCAAGGAATTTCCACCATCCCTTCTCATGATCAAAACACCACTGATCCCATCAATCTCTAAAATGGTGTCATCTATAAACTTCACTTTGTTCTTTATAGCACGATTGATTTTAACAAACCAATCCTTCCTCCCTGTCATATGAGTAGAGCATCCCGAGTCCAAATACAATTCCTCGTTGCAATGGACTCCTTGTCTCACAGTCACCGTGACATTTTCTTTTGCATGTAACTGATTAACGCTTTCATGTAATCGGTTATAGCATGTTTTTGCAGTATTCTCAGGATTAATGAAGTTGTTGTTTGATGTTCAGTAATCAAAAGTAAGTATTTGTTTATTGTATCCACATGGGCTGGTGCGATCAATGTTGTTCAACAGTTAATATGATTTTAAGTAGAAGTTTGCAAGATGTTTGATGGTTTATAGTTACAGGATGTAAATATATAAATGATAGATAATGTTTCAGAGATATGAGAGCTTGTCGGGATTGGGTTTCATCCACCAATTGAATAAGTAATTTACTAATCAGTTATACAAAATCTAGATATTCATCAATACCATCGCGTATCTCTAACAAGTAACCTTTATGCCTAAACTTCTTATGAGAATTTGACCTTATTGTCTAATCGACCATTTCTCAGTCTATTTAAAAATAAGGTAGCATTAAAAATCGATACTTGCGGTGAATGTTAAACTTATATCTATGTCTAGTATTTAGAATCTAACAGATGATTGTCTTAAATCAAGATTCAAACCGTATTTCTCAATATCAATTCCAATCTATACATTTAAACAGTGAAACAAAGATAACATCAATATTAATTCATAAATAGATTGTATATAACGCCATGATCAATAAACATACATACTATTACGATGAACTAAATCTAATCCCAACAAGAAATGGATTTAGTTACTCATGGTAGCTTGGTACGAAATGGAAGAACAAAGATGAATGAACATCAAATGTGATTCCCAACAATCTGATGCGTATCCAGCTCATTTCTCTCTTCCACTCTACTTCTATTTCTATTTTAGCTGACGTGGTTTAAAATTTAACAAAAGATCCCTCACTGAATTAACTTGGCTTCTATTTATAGTTTTCCAAAGTTCCATACTCGTACAATGCGCCCAAAAGTTGCGTTGTAGCGTAGCTACATTGCTTAGCCTTGAAGAATACTGCAAACTGCCTTTGGACTTAAGTCGCCTTAGTGCGTTTTACGCAAAAATTTGATCTATAGCGCACATGCGATACAACGGCGCTTTGCACATTATAGCACAGCCAATCTCGTTTCCTCGTTGTATGCGTGCTGGCAACACAACCCCCACTGAAACTTGTAGCGCCAGTGCTCGTGCTTTGTCTCTTTTGCTCGTTGCTCTGTGCTATAACGCCCTTGTAGCATGATGGTTTTGTTGTTTTGATGCTTAGGCCTGATTTGAGTGATTCTTCCAACATTAATACACAAGGACATACAAAAACCACTATCATACCTAAATCCCTATTATAATTAAAACTTTGGAAAATACCAACAAATTTGTAACTAGTATAGCCTATAAATGCTAAAACCTTATGCTTTACACCTTTCCTTTGGCATTCATCACTACTTCATTCTCCTTTTGTGATCATGATCAAGAGTGTATTCTCTTCATAAAACTATTGTCTTGCAACCTTGACTTTATCTCCTTGAGGTTCCTTCTTGTTTGCGTTGCACTCTCTTGAAAAATGACCGAACCTTTGACACTTAAAGCACTGCTCCTTGGTTTTGTCAAACTTCTTATTTTCAATTCTAAAGTTGCCTTTACCACCATTTTTGTTGAACTTGCTCTCACATCTTTGACAAGTCAAATTATTGAAATTTTAGGACTCCATTTCACCAAAATTCTGAAAATTCCCTTTACTCTTCATGGGTCATTTTCCTTTCAATCTCTTGTCCTTCTCGTTGAAGCGAGCTTCCAAAGCGATCTCTGCCTTTTCTTTATCATTATTTCTCTCCATCCTTCGTTCATGAGCCTCAAGAGAGCTTTGCAACTCCTCTTTACTCATCATCGCAAGATCCTTCAACTCCTCAATCGCTACAACCACGTTGTCAAATCATGGCGTTAAAAACGTAGGATTATTGTGAAAACATATTGCTCTGTGATTGTTTCTCCACATGCTTTCACTCGATTCACTAATCGAGTGATTCTTGTTATGAAATTGTTGATCGTCTCCTTTTCCTCCATTTGAATCAATTCAAGTTTACATTTGTGAGTTTATAACTTCACCACCTTTTCCTGATCAGCCCCTGCGTACGTCTTCTCTAAGATTGCCCACACTTGCTTTGACGATTCGCAATCACCAACTTTCTCAAAGTTGTCACTATCTACACATTGAAGGATCAAAAACAGCGTCTTGAAATCTTTCTTCTTATCTTTCTTATGTGTCGATCACTGTGTATCTTTTGCACCTTCGACAAGAGGACTCATCTCGTTCTTGATCACTTCATGAACATCTTGGTAGCCAAACAACACTTTCATTTGTTTTCACCATTTGTCGTAATTCTGCACATCAAAGATGGGTTGGTTTGTAAAGGTCCTTTCATTGGAGACAAAATTTATGTTGCACACTAGGTGTTTGTGGATCAGAACCTGACTCTTGATGCCAAATATTAGAACTTGGAACCACAAGATTGGTGAATAATGAAAAAATTAAAGAATGGAGAGAGAGAGAGAGAGAGAGAGAGAGAGAGAGAGAGAGAGAGAGAGAAATTTTCATTAGTAATAGATGAGGATGTCTCCAAGAAATTTATATAACTATTACACAATGATTGGGACACAATTTACATAAGCCAAATAATTGAAAAAACTGAAAGCTCATTCCTGTAACTAGTTACACTAAACATGTACCCGATTACAATTTCTACAAAAAAAATTAATTCACTTTCAATACTAATCGGCTTTGTAATTATGTTAATCAGTTACACTCACGATGTTATCCATGTTTCTTCAACTCAGAAGTGACTTTTGCCTTGTTGTAACCAATTACACTCCCGTGTAAAATTACAACACTTGAATTACCAAAAAATACTTTTAACAAGAATATACCTAAAAATGGTTATAACAAACAGTATAGTATATACCATCTTTAATTTTATGGACCTACAGTGACCTTTTAATTCATATTATTCTAATGATACATGATATAGTTAAGTCTGAGTCAAGGTAGATTGAGATCAAATTAACCAAAATCATTAGACGTGGTGGATTAGTTATAACCCTTACCTATAATATAATGCCAAGATCTAGATGGTGGTGGTTCGACCAGGATAGAAATTCTCGGCATCACCTCTCCACATCTTTCGGGATGCATAACACAATCTAATTTTTTGTACCAATGGTGTCGTCCTTTACACCATCCTTCATAATTGTAGTGTTTTGTCGATTGATACTTATTTAATTTAGAGCCTTTTTTATTTGATACTTATTTCATTTTCTTTTTGTCTGGTTTCTTGTTTTCGATGGCTTTGTTTGAGATCCAATATTTGTTGTTCACATGCCACTATTAGGAGTGTCAATTAAATCTATTAATCAATTATCTATCCAATCTATATGTAAAATTTTAGTTGATGGATTGAATTCAATCCATCCATTTAAAGTCATGGATGAATCCAATTCATCCAACATATTCTAAAAATCTAACGAATTATTTTATTTTATATTTTAAATTTAATAAATTATTTTTAATATAAAATAATATAAAATATATTTATTTAGTATAGTCATTAATTATATCTCAAACTGATATATATATATATATATATATATATATATATATATATATATATATATATATATATATATATATATATATATATATATATATATATAAAAGAAATGAAAAGAAAGAAATTTCATAAGAATATAAAAAATTGCAGAAATTCATTTTCTGTTGTTAACCACAACGGAAATTCAGTTGATTGTAGATTGCAGAAATTTATTTATGGTCGCTAACCATATATCACGTATATCATGGTGTAAATTAAATAAGTATCAAATAAAAAAGACTCTAAATTAAATAAGTATCAAATAAAAAAGACTCTAAATTAAATAAGTATCAAATTAAAAAAGACACGTCAATGAAATAGAAAAGTTGAAAAATGAAATAAAACATATACTTTATTTTATTGATGTGATTAAAAGTACTTTGAAATCCATTACAGAAACATACATTTTATACACATTAATGTTAGAATAAGAGAAATGATACTTTTACAGTAGGAATGACAATTACACCGTATTAAAATACTATTTTGTTTTATTAGAATATTAAATAATTGTTTTTTTCTCTTTTTGACACACACAGCAAATATGCACATGTTAGTACTTTATACGGTGTAAGTGTAAAAATAGTAACCCTCATAATTTAATTATAGGATTGAATTAGATTTTTCAAAAAAAAATTTAATAGATTTTTCACCGGTGATTTCGCAGTGGTTAAGACCTCGGTGCTACTTGTTTTTCATTTTAATTCGTCCGTATGGCTTATCGTTAGCTTATATGTGTTGGTTAGTTTCATATCAATAGATGCAAATATTAAGGAAAAAAATCTTGATATGACAAAATTTACCTCTCATGCATTGGAGAAGAAAAAAATGATTTAAATATTGAAAATGACAAAATTTGTTGAGAACAAATGTCAACTTCTTATAATTTCTAATGTGCAAGTACTACTATCAATGTATAATTCAAGACACATCATTTCACACATGACAAGAAACCTTTCACCTAGAATCATAATCATGTATGATCAGATTTTTTTAATCAAGTATTGTGTTTGTTCACTTATCATCATGTGAGAATCAAGAATAGTAGAGTGCTACAGAATCTAATTCCAAAAAGAATATGATGCCAGAAATCACTGAAATAATAGGACATTTAAGATATATAACAAAAAGGTAGTAACATATAAATGGATGAAACAATTTTAAAAGGTGAATCAGTATCACATTTTATTCCTTTAAAGCTCTTTAACACCGACGACATCTCTGAAAAAGTTTGTGTCACTTTTGGACACCAATACGACACCAACACTTATTATTACGTTTAATTTTTAATTTTTTTTAAACTATTATCAGTGTCGACGTGTTTGTGTCAATATTTGTGTCTCAGTCGGTTCTTACCTTACGTGAATTATAGTAATGCAATAGATGAGGTAATCTTGAAGCTTAAGATAAACCATATGTATGATAAATATTCCAACAGAATACCATCATCAAATGAAGTAAAAATCTCTAACCGAAATTGCATGATGAATAACCAGCCATCAAACAATTGCATTATATGTATCATCATAATCTTGAGTTTCATGTAAATATATCCTTCTGTAGCTTCCAGTGTCTCTAAAGATTGTTCTACTGGAAGCTATATTAACAAATACAAGGACTTTAAAGTTAAGGCTACCCTACCTCCAGTCCGTGGTCCGTGTCATTCATGTTTACCGCTGCAAAGACTTGTACAGCACCACAGTGACATATTTTGCTACAAATCGATGAGTTGTCCCGAGTGCAACCACTGAAGGGCTACTCTTTCCTTTCTGCATATAGAGATGATTGAGCATTACGTGCTGTGGTCTGGACACGAGAGGTTGGAATTCCATATTTGTTGAAGGAACGTTAAGAAGAGTCATTTGCATGAATGGAGGAACCAGTGGTGGCTCCTTCGCATAATCTTCGGAACTTAGGTGTAGGTTGTTGTAACTAGAGTCTGGTGATTTAGGTGGTTCAAAACTAGCAATGCTGCCAATGTCTTCAGGAACATAATCCTGCATTGATAGATAAAATTGTTGGCCTGAATCTCATCTTAGATGTCAAGAACCTTCTAGTTTTAGATGTAAAATGTAATGCGTACAATAGGTTTTAATATGCGCTTAAAAAACGTTTATTCAATGTGGTTATCATATAAAAATTTAGGCATACATGTTTATAATTGTGTCTATAATCAAAGAAAAAATTGTTAAGAAATGTGGTTGGACCTAACTCAAGTCTACAAAACTAACTTGTAGGGTGAAGATTGCCTCCACTTATATGAACATGTTCAAACCATATATTGTCCGATGTAATACATTTAACACACTCCCTCACGTCCAAGATTGGACAACTGAAGCGTGGAAATAAATGGTGGACGGCCCGATAGCAGAAACTTGTTAGCAGATGGCCTACCGGATCATAAATGAGGCTCTTAATATCATGTTAAAGAAATGTGGTTTGGCCTAACTCAACCCTACAAAACTGGCTTGTAGGGTGAAGATTGCCTCCACTTATAAGCATATGCTCAGGCCATATAATGTCCGACGTAGGACTCTTAACAAAAACAAAGATAAACTCCGCATAAATTGAGAAGCTTGTTACAATAAGCTATTTGGGGGTGCTTGTGAGAATAAGATGAAAACAGCTTATGATATGAACATATCCTATGCCATGTGTATAAACCATTTTGAAAATTCACATAAGTGCTTATATACATTATACATACTACCAAATAAGCTCTTCCAAGTTCAAGTTCCAGTTTCAAAAGCTGCTTGAGTCATATACGATATGCTATGAAATCAGTTTATTATTATTCTCCGTCCCCATGTTTAGGAATTTCAAGTTTAATGATCACAAAACATATTTACCAGAGAGCCACGACAAAATTTCATAAATCTGAAAATTAGTGACTCCAGAAAATGGATAAACTAATCTGTAACACTGTTGCAGACAGAAAATTCATGCTAGTAAGGAATACAACAACAACCAAGTTTTATCCCACTAGTAGATTCAGCTACATGGATCAACTTCCGTCATAATGTTCTATCCAGGATCATGTTTCTATCTATATCGTTAATTTCGAGATCTTTCTTAATAACTTCTTCTTATAAAAGGAGAGAAATTTTACCGAAAAACTGTGAAATAATGAAGATAAGGGAAGAGTTTGATGCCATAAAAAAAGGGAGAAATGAAATCAACCCAAAGTTGCTGCGAAATACAAGGTCCTTGAACTACTTCTTAGTATCGTAAAATCAATATTAAAAATAAGTTACGTATTGATAGCATCATCCTTTTCTTAACTTGGAAAAACATTATATCAGATAACTAAGCCTTTTGATCACAAGAAACACACACTAAAAATGTCAGCAAAACAGTACCTGTAAGTCGAGAATGTTGTAGGTATTGGCAGCATCATCTTGTTCCCAAGGCAAGTCAGGTGCGTGCCTCCATCGTCCATCCACGATAAATCTAAACTGGTACACCCCAGATGGCAGCACCTTCATTATAGTGAAGTCCTTTCCTGATCTCTGCAAGGGAATTCTGATGAACAAGAAATATCAGAATCTAAGCAGCAGTTAGTTATAGAAACCTTAGAAGACAAATAAAGAACATATTCCAAACGCATTTGGCTTATTTTTTGTTTGTTTTTTTCCACTTGAAACATGTTCACATGTTCACTTTGTTCTTACAATCAACAAAAGGAGTGGTGAAAACATCATTAAGTAATATCAGCTATAGTGCTATATCATGGCAGAATTTGGACAAATCACTATTGCTCTGTGATACACAGCGGCTATGATTGAGCGTTGTAGCACTATGGCATAGCAGTTTTGAGCAAACTGCTATTCAGTGCGATCCACAATTGACGACATATTAGCATTAACTAAACTTAACCGATACTAAATTTTCCGAACCTTGATTTCCAATGATCCCATGATCCCTCCACGAAAACTTCTTTACCACCATAGCTCCAAGTAATCATCGTCGGAATTCCAATCTCATCAAACATATCCTCGTACCCTGAAGTAGTTTGCATCCAGGAAGGAGTTGGAGCCTGCATCTCATCAGGTCTTTGTAGTGGAACCACCGGAACCTAAACACGTGTAAAAGGGAATGATTAACAAACAATGATAACGGAGAATCCACACACAATAACGGTCCAATCCAAAGCCAAGAAGAACATATATCCAGAAAGAAAAAAAAACAGATAGGAAAGTTGATTCTTGAAAGTGACAACAATCTAGAATTTGGGAATATGGTTCCCTTAAAGTAATCCCAATAACATAAGCATAAGCTACTTTTGTTTCCCAATCATAACAACACTCAATTATGTTCCAAAACATTCTGATTGGTGAAAACATCAATATAAACCCTGAATCTGATCCAATCTTCAAAAACCGCCAACTGAAAAACATGGAACTGTAAACTAATGTATGAATCAAAACACAAAATAATTGCACTATTAAGAAACCAGACAGAAAATAAATAACATCAAATCAAATCAAAAACAAAACCTAATTGATCACACTTTGACTTTAGATACAGATTCAGACACACCACTAATCCAAAAAAAAAAAAAAACTAAACTTTATGAGTTTTCACAATCCGAGTAAAAAATAAAACAAACCCTTTATTGGATAATTGGGGAAAAGGGTTATGAAATAGAAAAGGAATGAACTTTACTTGAGGAGAGAACATTAATGGAGATTGAGTAGTTCTAGGGCTAGCAGGAGGAGAATGACCCATTTCCTCAGAAGTTAAAGGATTTTCAGTGACCCCATCAGGCACAGACATGGAATCACTGACACTGTCAAAACCTCCCTCTCTTTCTCCATCATCAGATGAAGCTTCCGATAGTGTGCCGTTGAAATCTTCTTCTCTGCCATTCACATTCCCCATCACAAAGAAGAAGAGAAAGTAGTTGAATGAATGGAAATTGTGGGGTTTTGATACGAACGATGATGGTTCACGTCATCATATTCTTGACGAGGTCGTTATACTCTACTCTAGTTGTTGTTACTTTTTCTTCATTTTTCCAATTGGGAGCTTCAACGTGCTTTGTGTTTTCTGCGTGCGTGTGCGTGAACCTTTTTCTCTTGTTTTCTTCCTCTCTCTTCTTAGTGAGGGTGATGTGATGAGAGAGGGAAGATGTTAGTAGTGTTATCAATATTATCATAGCTCTTTTATTTCCCTTGTGCGATTGTGATATTTTTGTCACACAAATGTGTGTGATTGTGATTTGTTCCTACAATTTTAGACTAATTATTTTTTTTATTTTTTTTTGATGAATTGAAAGTTTAGATGGACAAAGATTCACCATAATTATTTATGGTTGGATTAATGGAATGATATAAATTGATATTCTATTATTTAATATAAATTGATGTTCTATTATTTGAATAGGTTAAAAGAGAATGAAATTGTGATTAAAATATACAGCATAAAATAATTTTTTCTTTAAATTGATTCTTACGAATCAACATGATGAATGCCAGAATGATTACATCTTATAGCAATTAATCAATGATGCATAATCTAAAGAGTAAACATGAGCATTTAACTAACAACATATTTATTCAGTCCACACAAACAGATCGCCTTAAGTCTCAATGTTAGTTGTTTGAGAGAGAAAGAGAGAGAGATGATAGGGGTTTCACAAATCGAATTGTTATCAAGTGTGGATACTTCAACACAAGAGTTATATTTATAAAACCATTTATGTGGCGTGCAAGCTAAAAAAGCTCATTTACACAAATCATAGCTTATAGTGTATTATACGTCACTTAAATTAATTGTATCTACAATATATTGAATTCAACTTAAGTGCATCATATCTTAAGGTGTTCTGCATCTAACTTAAGTACATCATACCTTACGGTGTTTCAGATTTCACTTAAGTACATTGTACCTTACAATGTTTCGAATTTCACTTAAGTACTACTTAAGTGCATCAATTTAAAAATAAGATTAGGATTATCGTGATCCTCAAAACCCGGGGGTTGTGAGACATAAACCTCTTCGTTTATCTGATCGTTGAGAAAAGCAAATTCAACATCCATTTGGTAAAACTTAAAGTCCAGGAAGCAAGTGAACGCCAAAAGGAGTCTAATAGCTTCTAGACGAGCTACAATAGCATAAGTATCCTCATAGTATATTCCTTTAGATTTATTATATCCATATGCCACTAATCTTGCTTTATTTATAGTAATTACACCATTTTCATGCATCTTGTTCCTAAATACCCATCTTGTATCAATGACGGTTTTATCAATCGGACGTGAAACAAGATCCCAAACGTCATTACTGTCATACCCCAAATTTTATCCTTAGATTCTTTGATTTGTTGCATATCATCTAGGTCAATCATCCATGCATAGCTAACCAGTTTTTTAGTTTTTGTTTGTTTTGTGAAATTAAGGTTGCTGCAAAGGTTTCAAAGGTCGTGAAGGTTTTGTGTGTGTTCAATATCCCTTGCAAGTTGTATTGAATTCCTGTGGAGAAAGGAAGGATATACCCTTATACTTATGGTGTTTTAGTCAGTACAAGGTCAATTTTCTCCAAGATGTCTCAGAGGCTTCCCCAAGGAGGATTAGGATTTTCCGCCCATTGGTTTCGAGGATGGTCATTTGAGAATTAGTTGGAATTTTGTGGTGTATTGTGTTGCAGGTGGTATCCTCATTTTCAAAGGATTTCTCCTAGCATGGTTTGATCTTATTTGTGAAGTGGATTATTAATGGTCAAGTGGAAAAGTTTGGATTTTAGTAGTTTGTGAACCATATGATTCGAAACGATAAATTGAGACGAAGAACTTGAAATCGAGTTTAGGCAAGTAACTTTCAAATTGAAGTTCAAGATTCATTCCTTTACAAAGTTCAAGTGAATTCACTGTGTTTTAACTATGAATCCAAATTCAAGTTCCATATTTGCAATTTCAAAGAGGTTTTGTAGCGATATTCAAATGGGATTACACTATATAGCTATTAAGAAGTTTTTGACTTAAAAGAGTTTTTGGCACGATTAAATTCCATTTAGTGCAAGATTCATATTTCCCATAAAGATACAAGATTCAAACTCAAGTTAATATTTTAAGAAAGTCCAAGGAAAACTATAAGGTTGAATTCCAAAATACAAATACAAGTTCAAAGATCTGGCACAAGTCGAAATGTTATTACAAGATCAAACACAAGATCCCAACGCCATTTCCATGTTTTGATATTCAAAAATTCACTAATTGGATTCATTTAATTACATCCCAAGGACCACATGTTATAAAAGTTTTTTTAGTGCAAGTTGAAAGTTATTTTAAGTGTTGTTTCAAAGTGTTCAAGTACAAGCCAAAATCCATCAAAACTACATGATATTTCAAGCCACCAAAACTACGCAACTGCACAAGAAGCTTCCACGAGCCTCATAAAACGCGAGGCCACTACATGTTACAAGCAGCTTCAATCTCGGCTTTGAATTTCAGTCCTACAATGAAGTCAAGAATTCCTTAGGCTACATTTTTGGAAATCATGACCAAGAACCAACCGTGAGGAGTTAATTTCCCTTATGGACTATTCAGTTTCCTAATCTGTCATGTGATTATATCACTGATCCTGCAATAAACCCCATGACATCAGAAATTGATGGTTTTGGAAAATATAATAATGAAGGCAGTGTCGTGAAGCATTTCCTGTTGGTTTGATTATTAAGGAATGTGAAGTTATAATTGTATCAAGGACCCTTAGCATTTACTACACCATGTACCTCAAGAATCCCAGGTCACACTAACAGTAATCAAGAGCAATCAAATGATATTAAACCTCCTCAAGACAAATTAAAATTCTTTCCAAGACACATCCAAACATGTTGATGCAAATACAGCAAGGAATTCATCCCATAAGTTACATCTTCAGGACAAAATCAGAAATCATGATGTTTTTCCAAAAAAATAGATTTGGGCATTAAATTCTGAAAAAATAAAATCCCATTCTATAAAAGAGGCCGATTTGGAGAGAATAGGGGGAATCAGGAAGAGAGAATCACTTACACTAGGGGTGAGCAAGAGACGGGTTGGGATGGGTTATGACTAACCCTAACCCTGTCCTAAATTTTGATTGGGCTATTTTAATGACCCGAACCCATACCTAAACCCGTAAAAAATCCGATAGTATATAAGTTAGTTTAGACCGGGTTAATGTAAGACGATATCAGATTGACCCGAAATATATGGAGAAAAAAATTTAGTGACTTAAAAAGTTTATTATAGTATTTTAAAAATTCATTTAAATAAGAAATATGAATAAAATCATTAGCATGAATGAAAAACAATGAATACATCTAAAGTCAATTTTTAAAAATAAAAAACATGATGTAATTCTATATATGTCATCACCTTTTTATTTTTCCTAAAACATAGTAAGAAGATGTAAAATAAAAAGCATGATGTAAGAGAACTAGAAAAGTGTGAAAGTTGGAAAGTAGGAAGATGTGTACTTAGTATTTACTTAGTGCATATATTAAATTATGAGGTGGAAAGTGGGAAAGTCTATTGTTAATTTGGAATAATCTAAATATATTAATAAATTAAATAAATAAATAGTATCACATGTCAATGTGCATTCATAATATTAGGACGGGTTGGGTAACCCGAGGGTCAACCCAAACCCGTCTCACTTGATACCGGGTTCATTTTTGGACAGTCATATTTTTCCATTTTTTTACATGAGATGGGAAAAAGACTAACCCGAAGCTATTGAGTTGGGACGGGTCTTCGGGTTGGGTTGAGTTCTGCACACCCCTAACTTACACCTTCACAGTAGTAAAAAAAAAATTTACAAAAGATTCAAACTGCAGAATATCAGAAATATCACATACATACATCTACGAGAGAAAATCGACATCATAATTCTCACACGGTTTCAGAAATTTCAGCCAGTAAAGTAATACACCTCGCAACATCAGCAAGAAAAAAGGAAGGAATTAAAAGGACTTATCTTCAAACTTGTCGACATCGTCGAATCGCCGCATCTGAAATCCCCAAAGGTACTTAATTTTTAAAATTTGAAATCAATCATGATTGTGTCGCTCCAAATTACCTCAAAATCGCATTTGTTTGTCATCTCGCTTTTGTTTTGTTGCGAAAGTAAAAGATTTTCGTTTACGGTGACGCGAAAGCGGATGCACGGTGGAGCTAAGAAGAGGAAGAGACGAGGCGCAGTGAACATTTTCTCCTTGAGGCTCATCGTGAAGACATTGCAACAGAAAGAGTGAGGGTCGCGACGAAGAAAGTGAGATTGAGTTGGGAGAAGAAATTTGAATTGAGACGAGGCAGAGGGTGAGTGATGTGGAGACGGAGGCAATGCGAGAGAGAATAAGATTTACTGATTTATCCCTTATTTCTCATTTGTGAAGAGAACACGGGTGGGCTTTGGCCCAACCCCAGCTTTTTATTTTTTTTAGTATTTTCTTTGGACTTGCATTAGAAGCTCGGTGCTCTTAGCACCCTTGGTTTTTTCTATTTATTTATTTAGTTTTAGTTTTTTAATTAATTTAATCATTTAGTTTTTATTTATTAAATATTGAAAATAAAAAATTAACTAGTTAGTTAGATTTATTAACTAGAACTTAGCTATTTGGTTTTTTAATTAGTTTGGTTTTTTAAGTATTTAGTTTTCTTAAACAATTAATTTTGATTAGAATTGAACTAGTGGCTTAAATTAGATGTTGGTTTACTCAAGGTTTGATTTAATTAGGTTTTAGTTATCTTAAATCCTAAATCAATATTGAATTTGTGTGCTCCACTTTGATTAGTTTCCTATTCATTTTGAATGTATTTCTCTTGATGTATGTGGTTGTGATTAAGTCTCGATCTTGATCTCCTATCTTTTGAGTTTTTGATTTACTTGTGCACTTGT